TGGCCCTTTGGAAATAGGGTTGCCAGGTGTCTGGTATTGGCCCAGACAGGTATTTGCCGCCTCTGTCTGCTTAAAAAACAACAACAAAATACTGGGCATGTAAAAACAGAAGGCCGCTTTTGGATGGAAGGCCTCCCCTTCCACATCTGGTGGGGGGAGCATAGCAGTTTAAAGGCACGGTGAATCTTTTTTTTGTGGGGGTTCTTTTTTTTTTTCACAACTTTGGTTCTTCCCCCACCCCCCCACCCAAACCAATATTTTTCCCGCCATGCACAGTATTTTTTGTGAAAGTATCTGGCAACCCTAGAAATGGGAAGGAGAGCAGCTCCACATCTCTGGAAGGTGTGGGGTTGGAGCAGCCAGCCAAGTGCTGCCTGGATGGCATAGGCTGGAGTGTGCCATGTGAGGCTTTGCAGCATGCTGCACGGCATTCCCACAAAGGGCCGGGGCTCAGGCCGCCACTGCCCCAGGTCCTTTAGAATAATCTGGTCCTGGGACAATTGCCCCCTTTGCCCTCCCCCACTTCCGCCCTGTCGGTGGGCCTACCCTCATCATCAAAAGCACAGATACCTACAATATAAATTAAAATCATTTTCTCTAGCTCTGAAATAGTAGGTAATTTAATTGCAGGGCCCAACCACCAGAGGGAGATGTGGTTATATGCTTCAGGACAGTGTATTACAAGAGCATCAAAACAGCAGGACTAAAATGTAAGCATTTCAGAGGGGTAGCTGTGTTAGTCTGTAACTGGAAAAACTTAAAAAACAACTAGCAGGCTTGCAGCACCTTACCGTCTACATTTTTTGTTAGTCTCTAAGGTGCTGCTAGACTATTCATTGTTTTTTAAAATTTAAAGTTTAAGGTTTAAGTTATTAGTGATTTTCCTTTCACTTGCCCTGAATTCACACTGGTCCAACTCCACTGACTCAGTCTACAGGCTTATTCTGAGGCCAGGACTACACTAGACCCATAAAGGTGGGCTACGGTACGCAACTCCAGCTACGGAAAATATGTAACTGGAGTCTGCGTACCTTTAGCTGAGGTTGGTGCCCAGCTGAGGGCAGTATAAATAAAGGCTTCTGGAGGGGAAGGCAGGATAGACACACTCTTACTCTTGCTGTGAAACAGGAGGAATCTGGCAGCCAGGGAAGTGAGAGGTTTCCTAACTTAGAGCAGAGCTGGGGAAAGGCAGGCAGAGCTGGGGAAGCTCCCGGGCTCCTAGGCTGCAAGGCCTCAGAGTACTAAGGCTACGGAGAGGCAGCCAGGGTAGGCAGGCATTAGGTCCACATCCCCTTACCATTTCAGCCTGCAGGTTGCCCCTGAAACAGGGGCTAGATGAAGACTGGCAGTGGGTCACTGAGGCAAGGTGAGTATAGGAGCTTGGGGGTTCCCAGAGAGGGAAGACTCCAGAGTGTGGGTACACTGCGGTAGGGCAGTACCCAGGTAGGAGGGCACCACTGGTTGGCATAGAATAGAGAAGAACAAGTAATAGCGGGTGAGACACCAGCCAGAAGGGGCTGCTCCAGCACCAAAAAGCTAATTTCCAGAGTATCCAGCAGGAAGCGCCCACAGTGGTGAGTCACACTGTGTTACAGAGGCCAACAAGAGCAAATACGCCTGTTGGCTTCCCTTATTCCTCGTGACTGCAAAGAGTACCAGCACTGACCAGAGTGGTCCTCAGCATTCAATTTAGTGAGTCTTACCTAGACCCTCTAAATTGAATGCCAGAGGATCAATCTCCAGCACAAGTAGAGACATGGCCTCAATTTATCTTTATGTGAGAGGAGATAGGCCAACAAGTTTACTACTGACTAAATTAACAGTAGAGCGATAAGGTGGATGAGAGAGTATCTTTGGACCAGCTTCTCTTGGTGAGAAAGACAGGCTTTTGCGGTTACCCAGAACTCTTCCTCTGGTCCTATGTAAGATCGAAAGTTTGTCTCTGTCACCAACAGAAGTTGATCCAATAAAAAATATTACCTCATCCATCTTGTCTCTCTAGTATCTTGGACCAACACAGCTACAACAACACTGCATATAACAATAAATTAAGCAAAGTCAGTTGGAAATCTATGAGACAAATTCTGTTTTCTTACACGCATGCCTGAAAATCAGCAACCAGGAAGGGCTGCTTTGAGCACCTTGATTTGGGTTCTTCCAAATCACCAAGGTTAACAATCTTTCAATGCGTTTCTACATTTTAGGGTTAGGGTACAGTCTATGGCTTTGTCTACACTGCAGGGTTTTTGCGTAAGAAGCTTTTTGCAGAAGAGATCCGCAAAAACTTCTTGCACAAAAGCATGGCCACACCTCAAAAGCGCATCTCAAGAGAGCATCCACACTGCATGGATGCTCTTGTGCAAGGAAGCTCTGATTTCCTTTAACAGAATGGCCATCAGAGCACCTGTGCTTTTTTGGATAGGCTCTTTTTGCACAAGAAACCCCTGCGGAGCGTCCACACATACCTTATTGCACAAGAACTGTAGCACAAAAAGAAGTTATTCCTCATGGGGAAAGGAATAACTCTACCGGTAAAAGCACTCTGTCCTGTCAATTTACAATTTTTTTTTTTTTGCACAAAAACGTGCTTGAGGTATAGATGCTCTGCTGGTTTTTGCGCAAAAACCTTGTAGTGTAGACAGAGCCTATGTGTTTTAGCACATTCTCCTCTGACCCATACAAGCAGTTCGTTCACCACTGATGTATATTTATGCAGTCAGGTGGCAGAAATCATGTAATTTGGTAGCTTTCTCATTAGGATAACAATTAAAGTATAACTTGTTAATTGACATCATGGCTCCAGTTCTCCAGGTCAGGCCAGAAATAAAAGGGTGAAGAAAGTGGATTTATACCTGCTTCCCAGAAATATAAATTTCCCCTAATGAATGCTTCCTAGGATATTGGAGTAGTTAAGTGATAAAGAGAGCTAGCAGTTTCTCAAGGAGACAATATTAAATACGCAACTGCTAACTATTCCAGTGTGATGTAATGATAGTTAGAGGCCAATATGGTTCCATCAGGAGCTTTTTAACCTGAAAATCAAAAAGGAATCTTACAAAAAGTGGAAACATGGTCAAATTGATAAGGAGAAGTAGGAAAGAATAGCACAAGCATGTAGGGACAAATTTAGGAAGTCTAAGATACAAAATGATTTATACCTAGTAAGGGGCAAAAAGCCAACAACAGGTTTTTTAAATTACTAGGAACAAGAGAAAGATGAAGGAACATGTAGATTCTTTGCTTAGTGAGGAACGAGAGCTGATCACTGATGTCATCCAAAAAACTAGGCTGTTTAATGCCTATTTTGCTTCAGTCTCCACTAAAAAGCTACATTGTGACCAGATACTCAATACAAGGGGGAGGGAAAGAAAAGATTAAAGAATATTTAGATAGATTTATGACTTAGATGTGTTCAAGTCATAGTTTAAGGCCAAAATGGACACCCAGATCATCTAATGTGACCTCCCATATGCTACAAGCCACCAGCCTCACCTAGCACCTCCACATTAAACCCAACAACTAAAATTAAACTTAAGAATAACAACACACAAGGGTCTGAAGTGTTATGTGACACATGCGGAGAATAGGAGGGATTAAGGCACACAACAGCCTGAGGCCACACGCAATGTCAAAGAAATGATGAAGTATGGTGTACTCAGATAAGCTAGGAAAGTGACCAACACCCTCATGCTGCAGAGGAAAGTGGAAAAAAACCCATCATGGTGCGGGGTGGGGGGAGGAGGGGAAAGAGGGGAGAATTCCTTTCCAGTCCCACTTATAGTGATCAAGGTACCTGTGCCAGAAATTTCCTTAAACTTGGTGATCAGTATCTGTTAGGGCTACTCATCTCTGTAGGGCCTGATGAAATACACTCTAATGCTACGTCTGCACAACAGGGCTAAACTCAAAATAAGCTATGCAACATGAGCTGCGCCAATTGCGTAGCTTAAGTTGAAAAAGCTTATTTCAAATTTGAGCATGTCTACACAGCACTTATTTTGAAAGAGAGCACTCTTCCTCCGATTTCCCTTACTCCTCGTACAATGGAGGAGTTGGAGTAAGACGTCCTCCATCTGGACATTATTGTGACATTATGTCGAAATAACTACTTGTGTGCAGATGCACACTTTGTTATTTTAAACCAATGTCAGTTATTCCGAATTAACGCTGCTGTGTAGACATAGCTTTGGTTACTTAAGGAACTAGCTGAAGCAATCTCAGGACTGTTCGAAGTTATCTTTGAGGACTCAGGGAGGAAAGTGAGGTTCCAGAGGACATGAGCCACACAAGCATACCTATCTTTAAAAAGGGAACAAAGAAAACCTAGGAAATTATAGACCAGCCAGCTTAACTCAAATACCTGACAAGCTAGTGGAACAAATTGTTAAATAATCAGTTTGCAAGCACCTAAAGGGTAATAGGGTTATAAAGCGTAGCCAGCATGGCTTTGTAAAGAACAAATCATGCCAAACTGACCTAATTTCCTTCTTTGACAGGGTTACTGACCCAGTTGATGGTGGATAAGGCAAAGTATTAATTCACTTAGGCTACGGCTACATTACACGCTTTGCCAAAAGAGGCAATGCAAATGAAGTGCAGATTAGCATCTTCTCACGCTTCATTTGCATACTCTCTTTCGTTCCATTTTTGCGCAAGGGGTTTTTGCGCAAAAACAAGCAGTGTGGACATTTTCTTTTTGTGCATAATCCCCTTTTTGGTCAAGATCCTTTTGCCTCTCCACGCTTCATGTGCATTGAATTTTTTGGCAAAGCATGTAGTGTAGACAAAGCCTTTGGAAGGAAAAATTACATGCATGTCTACAATATGGGGAATAACTGGATAGGCAGTACAGCTGATCTGACACATAGTCCAATCTCACCACTGAGGACTGGATTTGATGACCCCCCAAGTTCCCTTGCAGCCCAACATTTCTGTGATTCTGCAATTAGACAGACTCCAGGAGCTATCACACGAATCAATATCTCATTTTCATTTGGTAGGTGTTCTGTTGTTTTTGTTCGGCATGGGAATCAATATTCACAGTGACCTCCTGCTACGCCAGCTCAGGAAACCTGGAGACACTACTTACAAGATTCCACAAGGTACATTCCCCTTGTGCCCCTCCTTCCCAAAAAAGAGTAGCACATTTGGATAAATAGTGGGAGTGGGAGTGGGAGTGGGAGTGGGGGGAAGGGGAAGGACAGCACAAAGCTCTTACAATTATTTGGAGCTATTAGTTTCACCTTGATACTTGGCCCAGATATCGCCACGCCGCCCCAACCTCCCACCCCGCCTTCCAGCAAGAATGAATTGCAGGGGCATAGTAATCATCTATCTTGGGCCTGAATTTTGCAGATGATGGGGAGAGAATTCAGCAGGCTGCTCCTAATCTCTGAGCCCTTTCTATGTGAACTTTGCACAGCTTAGGTTTGGAGGGGATGGGGAGCCCAGCAATAGGCAGAGCCGTCCTGTCCTTGCAGAGGGAGTTAAAGTAGTCCAAAGAAAAAATCAGTGTGATTCTGCGGCCCACAAAAAAAGCAGAGTCCTAAACCTTCAGGAAAATAAAGAGGAAAAAAGGGAGGCAGAAAAGTACTGATGCTTCTTTCTGAGAGGCCCTCAGTAACCTAGATTCCCTCAGGTTATATTCCTGGTTCGCAGCCTTTGGTCCCAGAGAAGCTTTTAGGTTGCAGTCCTGCTCTTTCAGGGTTCCACCCTGCCCTGAGCAGTGATCAGTCACCACAGACGTGCTGCGTTGATGGCGATTGTGCCCAGATGAGCGCTTAACTCCTTCCTGACTTGCATGCAGAAATGCCCCATCACAGGGCAAAAGAGCTGAAGAGTTCTGTGTCATGCTGTTGTCCTGTCTATGGCATGTTCCCCAGGCAAATCTATGGCTTGTTGTGTAAAAATTGCCCTGACCAATGTTCTGGATCTATGTTTTGCCATTGCCAAGCCTGCTCATCAACCCCTCTTCTGCTCCATCTTCTGCCCACTTTGAGGAGAAGTAATTTGGGAGTGTCTAATCCTTGAGAGAAAAGTGGTCTGCGCTCAGGATGAGGATCTAGGAGCTATTGAGTTCTCATTCTGATCTTGACTCTAACTCCTTCTGTTGGCCTCTTTCTGCCTCAGGGTATGTCTACACTACAGGCTGTCTAGATTGGCCAGTTTTTCCGGAAAATCAGCCACTTTTCTAGAAAAACTTGCCAGCTGTCTACACTGGCCGCTTGAATTTCCGTAAAAGCACTGACTTCCTACTGTAAGAAATCAGTGCTTCTTCCAGAAATACTATGCTGCTCCTGTTCAGGCAAAAGTCCTTTTGCGCAAAAGTTTTGCGCAAAAGGGCCAGTGTAGACAGCTCAGATTTGTTTTCCACAAAAAAGCCCCGATCATGAAAATGGCGATCGGGGCTTTTTTGTGGAAAAGGGCGTCTAGATTGGCACGGATGCTTTTCCGCAAAAAGTGCTTTTGCGGAAAAGCATCCATGCCAGTCTAGACGCTCTTTTCCAAAAATGATTTTAACGGAAAACTTTTCCGTTAAAAGCATTTCCGGAAAATCATGCCAGTCTAGACGCAGCCTACAGAGTTTTGTCAGAAAAACAGCTGTTTTTCCGACAAAACTTGAGGAACGTCCACACTGCAATTGCAGTCTTCTGCAAGAAAATCGAAAGAACAGAGGGGGTTTTTTCAGCATTGGTAATCCTCATTCTACAAGGAAGAAGCCTTTTTCCGAAAGAGCTCTTTCGCAAAAAGGCGTATGTGGATGGAGAAGAGGGAGTTATTTCAGAAGAAGGGGAAAGAGGAAAAAGCACAGGTGCCCTGGTGGCCATTCCATCCATAGCAGTCACAGCTTATATGCGAGAGAGCGTCCATTCAGTCTGGATGCTGTCTTTTGAAAAAGCAGAGCATTTTTTCGATGCATTTTTGCAGTGTGGACGCTCTCTTTCGGAAGAAGTTTTTTCAGAAGATCTCTTCCGAAAAAAGCTTCTTCAGAAAGAAACCTGTAGTCTAGATGTACCCTCAGTTACTAACTACCATAAAATGGGTTTGGTGAGTAGCAAAGGACTTTAGCTCCAAAACATAGATCCAGAGTTTGAGCTCCCCAAATTTAATAGATTCATATATTTTTAAGGCCAGAAAAGCAATTCATTTAGTTTGACCATCTGCAGTCCTTATTCCATCAAGTCTGATCTATGGAATAGATTCAGGCTTGTTTCTAGCTGTGAGAATTGATGCTTGTAAATTGGTTTGAAGTTTGTAGACTTACTTTCTTCTCACTCATGCCAGTTTTTCTTTCTTATAACACTGTTGGCTTCAATGAAATATTTATAGATTTACATGGGTTCAGTGGGAGGAAAATCAATTTTTGTAAATGTGAGAAGTGTGACTTTCAGTCTCACATACTCTGCAATGTTGTTGGTGATGGTGGTGGTTGTTTTTGTCTTAAAATGTGAGTAATTAGATTTCACTCTTCTTATATGCACTTGTGACTTTTTTTTTTTAATGCAGGGGGACTGTTCACATACGTATCTGGCGCTAATTTCTTTGGTGAGATAGTGGAATGGTTTGGCTATGCCATAGCAACCTGGTCCTTTCCAGCCTTTACATTTGCACTTTTTACACTGTGCTGCATTGGACCACGTGCTTATCACCATCACAGGTATCAAAACCAAGATTGTTTCATGCTAACCTACACTTGATAGTCCCAAAGATGGGGGCGGAATTCAAGATAAAGTTGAAATGTTCAGTACTGTATATTGAATCAGAAATACCTCATTATTCAATGTAAAGGGCGTTTAATTTGGGAACATAAGTACAAAAACTTGATGATGTGGAGTTTAGCAAGTGGAGTTTTCTGTTGACTCCCTCATTACATTTTCTAAGAGCCTCCATTTTTAAAAGCGACATGTAGTTTGGGATATATTGATTTTGGGGGGCTCAGTTTGAAGCATCTTAATGTGGACTGATTTTTAAAAAGGGTTGGCCATCCATCCTCTGGAAATCAGACCCTATTAATGTGCACTATATAACCAGCACTGAAAGGGAAGAAAGTGTTTCATCAGCAAAGGTAACAATTGCTGTGTGTTCCTACAAGTCTCCAGAGTTTCCATGAGGCAGCAGTGAATGAAGGAAAGTGCTCGAGTCCAAGAACAGTTCTCAGTGAACTATATCTGGACATTTTGTGATGAAATAAGGAGAGCAGTAAATTGTAACAACCTTAAAGTTACTGTGAGTTACATTAGATATCCACCTATACTAAAGTCTCCTTTTGACTGCCAGGACAATGTAAAGAGGCTGTAGTGTAAATGTGAATCAGATCCTACTTTGGATTTACACTGGTGTGAATACAAGTGGAATTTAGCCTTTAAAGCAACAAAAGATACTGACAGAATTCAGATTTAAGTACTAATTTTAACAGTCATTTTAAAAAAAGGTGTAGTCCTGAGGCACCTTAGGCCTGGTCTACACTAGGACCTTAGTCCAAAAATAGTCCCCTCCTTCTCCCCCCCCCCCCCGGTTGAATTTGTAAGCAATGTGTCCACACTACCACACCCATTATTCTGGTACAAGGGGCCATGGAATTAAAACTCTGCAGTCCTGCTTTTCATGAGGAATAATGCTATTCCTGAACTTATAAATTCAAAATAACATTAGTGTTGATGCTCTGGTGCTTCTAATTCGAACTAATTGGCCTCTGGGAGGCCTCCCACAGCTCCCCAGAGTGCTTTCTGGAACTCTGAGTCCAAGGTAGCACATCCACATTAAAGGAGACTGCCTTGGACTACATTCGATTCTTTCCCACAGTGAGAACACGGAACTTGGAATTTGTAGAATTGGGTGTCCAGAAGTCAAACTTAGTAATTTTGGACTAAACTCCTAGTGTAGATATGGCCTTAGAGATTAACAAAAAGATATAGTATCATGGGCTTTTGTGGGTAAAACCCACTTCATTTTTACATTTAATGGTACTTTTGTGTAAATCTCTTAAAACAACTCTTTTGTGCAGTTACTGAAAATGATTACAAAGTGAAGTATTTTTGGTGGATTTCAGGATGGAGGAAGATTAGGTTTATTAAAGCAATAAGCAAAGTTTTCTGGCATCCATACAGTTTCATTATCATTTATTGTCTTTCAGGTTCTATCTCAGGATGTTTACGGACTATCCAAAATCAAGGAAAGCCCTGATTCCTTTCATATTTTAATGTGTGAAAATGGGGACATCCTTGTTTTATATGTTTTCACACATCCTAATTTTAAACTGGGGTTTCACAGTAAAAAAAACTTGTGGAAAACAATATGGTTGGTTTAAATGAGCAATAATGTAATTCAGAACTATCACTCTTGTGTTTATCTACAGTAGGTACCACAGACATCTTTACTTGGAGACACTTGAGGTAGCTGAGGCTATGTCTACACTGCACATTTATTTCAGAATAAGCTATTCCGGAACAGTTATTCTGAAATAGCTTATTTAAAAATAACACGTCTACATTTTAGAGAAGCCTCAAAATTAGTCCGAGGCAGGCTTCCCTAATGTAGATGTGCTATCTTGATTTAGAGCCCCAGGAGGCACTGGGGAGGAATAACTTAGAATACCCGTGATGTGAGAGGCTATTTCGAAATAGCAGAAGTGGAGCATCTACACAGTCCCTATTCTGAAATAGCTATCATCATTCCTGGGTCCCAAGGGTGCCCGGTCCATCCATCAGCAAGCTGGGGATGCTATTTTGGCATAGATGTTATTCTTTGTAGAATGAGGCTTACAGAAGTTGAAATAAGCCTCCCGTTATTTCAAAATTATTTCATAGAATCATAGAGCTGGAAAAGACCTCAGGAGGTCATCAAGTCCAGCCCCCTGCCCAAGGCAGGACCAATCTGAACTAAATCAACCCAACCAGGGCTTTGTCAAGCTGAAACTTAAAAACCTCTAAGGATGAAGATTCCATTTCGAAATAACGCTATTGCTGTGTAGACGCTCACATAGTTATTCCAGAATAACGGCTGTAACTCCGAAATAACTTTGCTGTGTAGACATGCCCTGAGTGTGCATAGGGAGCTCTACCAAACAATGGGCATGATTGACAATGGAGTTACACTGGTGTAACACTGGTGTACGAGAGTACAGGCAGTCCCCGGGTTACGTATAGGATAGGGACTAAAGGTTTGTTCTTAAGTTGAATTTGTATGTAAGTCGGAACTGGCGTCCAGATTCAGCCGTTGCTGAAACTGACCAGCGGCTGACTACAGGAAGCCCGAGGCAGAGTTGCTCTGCCCTGGGCTTCCTGGAATCAGCCGCTGATCAGTTTCAACAGCGCGAGAGTACAGGCAGTCCCCGGGTTACGTATAGGATAGGGACTAAAGGTTTGTTCTTAAGTTGAATTTGTATGTAAGTCGGAACTGGCGTCCAGATTCAGCCGTTGCTGAAACTGACCAGCGGCTGACTACAGGAAGCCCGAGGCAGAGTTGCTCTGCCCTGGGCTTCCTGGAATCAGCCGCTGATCAGTTTCAACAGCG